GAGATGAAAGCATATGGGCAGACCTGGAGCCAGGTGAAAACTCTAGCAGAGAACCGAACGCAATGGAGACGCATGGCTGAAGCCCTATGTTCCTCTAGGAATTAAAGGAAATAATAATAATACTTTACTTGCAGAGATAGTGGTTATGTAGAAACATTCAGGTAGCCGAAACAGTGTTGGACAGCATTCAGAATGAACGATTGGAACATCACTATTAAAAACTTTATTCTGTGGTTTTGACATCTTTGCAATGCTCTCCTCTTCCTTAAATGTGGTCTCTTAGCCATGACTTTTGTGATGTGACCTTTATACCTTCCCACCTCCTTCGATTTAAATTGTATTATTCGTCTTCCGTTTTGTTTAAGGTTTTCTCTTAATTTCCCCTGTTATTATGAAGTACTCAACAGTTGAAAGTAAGCCGCTGTCTTAATTATGCCAGCATTTTGTCTGACAGTGGTGTGGGGCGACTACTTTGTTCATCTTATGAAAACGTTATCTACTAGATTTTATTTATTCAAACAGAATTTCAATCCTATTCCGTTGGAGAATTCTTGTTGGTTCTCATCTATTTAACATTCCTAATTGATTATTAGCTTTGTGGAATTTGTGATAATAATGGATTTGAGTTCTTTCATACTTTTACCACATAGCACTTATCGATAGGATACTATTCCCATGCCGAGAAAGTCAAAGATGGATGACACAGGTTCAGAGACAAGCCAATGCACGCATTGGACCACAGTTATCATAATATCACTCCTCACTGGTATGAATCAGTGGCTATTCGGGCTGGCATTCAGGGTGTCACTTAGTGAATACGGTTTTATTAGACAAGTGGAGGTGAAGACGGGCAAGGCAAAGCAAGCGAAGGATATAAGAAAATCTGTCTTTTGAAAGCCACAGATGATGGGCCTCATAAGGGGGTATTTAGATGTCCTGTCATAAGTCTCAACTGCGAAATGTAAACAGTGGATTAGGTGGTTGCCAAGCTTACCATTGTAGGTCCAGAGAACCAATTAGATAGTAAGTATGACTTTAGTGTGTCATGTATTGAATTGAATTGATGCCTGAATAAATTATTATAAATGCTATTTCATTGAGTGCTTAAAAGACGAACTAGCGGTATTTGGGGGGGGAGATAATTACGTTTAATTTTACATTGAAGTTGTGTTTTATGTTACATTTTATGTCTATTATAAGTCGAACCATTTGTAGTTCAATTTAGACGTATGCGTGTTTTTTTATTACCCGTATTTGTCAGTTGAGAGCCATTCAGTCTTTAGCCATCGTCTTCTTGGCATTTAGACGCCGGATAACCTAACGGTCGAAGAACATTATCTTAAAGCCAAAGTACGAATAATTTCAAACGAAGATACACTCTGAGCCTTCGGCTTAAATTGTTCAAATAGATTTCAATAAAAACCAAAGTTGTGAAAGATTCTTCAAGGTTAATTGTTCTATCTTGAGAATTTACCAGACGATTATAGTACGAACCTTTTATTGTGAGATTATCCTGCATCTAAATATCGAGGATACAGTAGCTCGAAACAAAGTGACTGGAAGTTAAGAAGGACGTGCATTCAAACGAAGGATGTGCAACAAATCATCCACTTCACGCAAGAGTCCAAATACTGCACAAAGGTGATATAACAAAAATACAGCCAACTGAACGGTTGTTAAGTGATCAGACCAGAAACTGTAATTGAGTAGATCGGAACCTGTCACTAATACTATCAAGAATTTTTGATACCGTCAGAAGGGCACTAGTTCGGCACTTAATGACTGACTATTGTTCAGCGCAATCTATAATACAATCCAGAACGAAAACTTAATTTCCGACCAACAACAAACCAATAAAATGTGGTTAATTAAACAGCAGTCTGAACATCAAGTTAACAGCTGGTTAGTGTAAAAACATTGAAAAAACCTACAAATAAGCGTCAATTTAATATACAACAATACTTCTGATTGCATTGCTCTGGTCTCCTGGCAAACAGCTAACATTAAACAGTAGTTTGTTTCTCGGAAAGAAACCAGCCACTTTTACACTCATAAATATGTGTACATCACTGATAATCGACAGGAAAAATGAAAAGAATTTTAGGTACAATTTTGAACTGAACATTAGTTCAGGCAGTGTGAATATTGAAAAAGTACAAATTATTGGATAAGTTATTTTTGAAGTTCGTTTTTAATCGAACAATTTGTAAGCTGATGGGTTAAATTAAAATTTTACGGCCCCACAACCTACTGCATTTCGCGCGCTTATTACAAATGTTTGTGTTTTTAGGAAGTGAGAAGCGGTTTGATAGACTAGTGCCTGAGAAATTTGGGATAATTAACACTTCATGAAGTATAAATGGTTCGAAAATTCACAAAATTATACGATCGCCCGAAGCACAGTACCACTGTGTCGTTAGCAGTTATCCGGTACCAGCTTTGAAAGCACCAACCGAATTCAGGAAGGAGGTTGTCCGATCTTAATCAGACGTGCTGGTAAAGTTCTGAATATCTGCAGGGCTCCAATGATTTTGACATTCCATTAGAGTAATACTAGCGTAGAGGATAGCATCAATACATCAGTGCTGTGGTCCAGAGTAGTACGTCTCATAAAAGAAGATAAGGAGAAGATTTTCTCCCCTAATGAAAATGAAACTTGTTCGAATAGGCAGGTTCACTGAACATCTCTTCAGTTCTTACCAACGTTGACAACAGTTATCCTCATAATCGACAAATTACTAGTTTAAATCGTAGAAACCATGTCTCTAAAAGTTACCCAATCACGTGACCTTCAGTATACTTTGGTTTATTAAGAATGGTCTAAAAATCATGTGTGGTAGCACAGGTTCACGACGTAACTCTTGCGTTAGTATTAGATACTACATATCTTGTACAAGGAAGACCTTCGGCTTTATAGTTCTCAGGGGAATTCGCTGAGATATTTTCGATATGAATTACAGCTCAAAGAATACCTTCATTTTGTATTTTGCTATAGTAATGGTACGAACGCTAAACTTACGACATAAGTGCGCCTTACAGATCAAGTTTCTGAGAAAACTGAATAAAAATACTAGAGGTATGTGAATCATTTTATGTCTTAGAGTATTCTGATCCTCTGTTGGCGCATTGCAAAGCCTCGCTTAGACTGAAGCAAGCCAGATATAGTGGAAAGGTTGGGCATGAGCCTAGTTAACTTGCTCCATAAAAACAAACGCCACTGCTACTGAAAGTTGATGGCCATACCTGGAAGCCTATACGGGATGCAAAGGAATGAGATGTAAAACAAATAGCATCAACAAAGAAGTATTTCAAAACGTATAATGATTATGATATAGAAAAGCGTTCGATAACAAATTCTCTGAGTACTGAGGACCATTCAGTCTGAAAAATGATAGCTTGTCTGGGTATATGGAAAAATTATATGCAGCCACGTCGTATTGACTGTGTAGCGCGAACATGTTTCGAAAACATATCTTGATGGGGTAACATTTATCCAGTGCATGCAATCATCATATTCCACGCCTCGGAATAAGTATGACCACGATCTTTTCATTCCTGTTAATAGGGAAAATAACTGTGGTTCTACCAGGATCAGTCAGAAATTAATTTCTTTCACGTGAAATCAGTCACCAACGTACTTTCTTCATTAACTCCGGAGATATAAACCAAATTACCCCAGCAGATAACACTGTCTTGCTCTTAGGCTGTTCACACTTAAAAGGAAGAGATTACCTGCAATACTATCTTATACGCATTCACTGCTCAAAAACTCTGTGTTGGTGGAATATGTTGTACAGCATTTTGCCGGATGGGATGTACACAGATTAAGGTAGCTCTCTTTATTTGAAAAAAATAGTATCCCTAAGGTTTGTATATACCTGCTTCATTCTATTTGACTCCCGTAGATGGAGTTTTCATCTCACTTTGTTGAGGATATTCTAATTGATTCTGGGGCAGTTCACTGTCGTTATTTATTCGATTAGCCATCTTGAACAGTACGTATATTGTACATGAGAAACTTTCGCACCGTATAGTTACTGAACAGCATGGTGAAGTACCACGGATTATTTTTAAAGACTGACTTTTCTGTAGAAATGATTATGCTGATTGCGCATTCACATTGTAACAAAGGGCATGCAACAGAACGTTTATTGAGAAAAACAACGGATATTTTTAGATTTTTATGTACATTATCATTCGTTATTATTATCAGAGAAACGACGTCTTCTAATTGGTTGTTCGGTCGCTGGAAAATATCTATCATCTCTTTGTGGCCGTTTCTTTGAAGGTCAGACCACGTATCTGCGAATCTTAGCCACCCACGCAAAGTCTGCAGTTGCAGGTTGTAGAACTGGTTTTTATTTTTGTTTTTTCTCACAACCAAGATTTGGATGTTATGATCCAGGCTAACAACTGTGAAAGACCAGACTGCTACTTTCCGGTGGATGACGGAATGCAGTGTGGCAATGAATTTTCAGTCATTATCCCTCCACATATGCATGTTTTATTTTCTCCTATCAACCGACTTTCCACAGAGAAGTCGAAAACCAAATCTAAGAGACATTGTGAACGATGATTATGACTAGCAACCATTTGTAATGCTGAGGTATCTGATTGGTTACATCAGTGTCATTTGCCTTTGGTGTCTATTGTTTACTTTTGCCTTCAGTGATTATCAGATCTGTAAAATTTACATTTATATTTATACTAACTTGTTCCCGTAAGCTGAAAAATATAATGTCTATCCGCTTTTATTATTGTTATTTCAAAGCCCGCCTCAGTAACGTACACCACATGTTAGCCGCAACGTTTATGCAAAGGAAAGTCTACCAATCACAGTGTGCGTAAGTGACCTTCAAGTGCTCAGCCTCTCCGTAAGCCATTTGTGCCGCTATCCTCTGTCTCTGTGCCGCCAACCTCTATCTTGTGCTGCCATCCTCTGTCGGCAGGCTGTCAAATTATTGAATTCTGACAAACCAAACAGCATGCGCTGCTAAGAGATGATAAGTTTACTGGAGGACTATTTAGCTGACGTGGATAATAAAAGTGCCGTGTCATGCGTCAAGAGTATTTTAAAATATCCTTTAAATAAAGGTGAATTGGATTTTTGCCTTGCCGAAGAAGATGAAAAGGTTTTGTACGACAAATATTTCTACCGGATTATTCTTCACGTTTTTGAGAAGATTAAACAGTCACCAAACTCAGAAATACTACACTTAGCTAAGTATATTACTCAGTATTCAAAAGCTGATGTGTGGCTTGAGTGCATGTGTGCCTTAGTTGGCCAATTAGATGCTTCCGGAAAAGATTTGGTTGTGAAAGAGTTGGAGAGATTTTTCTCAGAGCTTGATAGAGTTCCCGATTTTATTAATGCCTGCCTACACAACTTTGACGTCCATTTGGAATGTGCTCCTGCTTTCATGGAATCCCGTGTTAGGTTATTGTGCAACATTCCGGCACTTATTTCCAACTTGAAACGTGGAGATTGTTCTTATTTTACCGACGAGAGTGGTTTTGTTAAAAAAGTCTTGTCGGCTTTTGAACGTGTTCCTGAAATTTCAGAAAGAAGCTGTCAATTTATGGGTCTGGCAGTTAGCTGTCTCTGTATGACAGGATATACTGAACACGTATCAGATTTCATCATTAAACAGAGTATTGATAATACAATCCATTTGTGGTCAAAGCTCTTAAAATATGTCAACGCCAAAGGCTTGGAGATAACATTGTCACCGTTGGCTAAGAAATGCCCTACTTCAAGCATGTATTATGCTTTGATATCTGAGCTTCTAGAGACTCCCACTGGCTTTGATGCATATATGAGACTGTGTCGTCGTCTCTTCTATATTCGCCAATTTCGAACAGGTAATACCATCAGAAACATTTTCAGCTCCTTTTGTTTGGCGGTGAGAAAACGCGAATCTCAGGAGAAGTCCAAACAACTGATTAAACAAGTCGATGAAAATTTAGGCTTACCTGCTCTTAGCGTTTGGTCAGACGTGAGTTCCATACAATCAGCTTCTTTGGAAAGACGCATATATGTATCTCAGATTTTTATTTCGTGGTTCGTTGATTTCCGGAATATGCTTAGTTCCGAATTTACGATAACAGATGATCATCTGTTACCTGATATTTTATCTGGCATCTCTAACCACCTCGCGAGTCCAAGAATCGAGGTACGTACTCTTGGTATGGTGATAGGTGAGTGGATCGTAAAATTTCTCAAATGGGATACAGGAGACGAAGATCAAAAGCTAAAATTTGATTATGAGGAACTAGAGTTCCTGAAATACATCCGGCCGTACTTTGTTCCTATGGATGAAAATCATGGAGTGGAATCTAACCTACAGGCTACCATCCCCACTGAGACAATATCGGGAAGCGATTCTCACGAAGATACTGTCGCTTCACGTGATCACAGTAAGTTATTATTTTCTAGATTTTACGCTCAACATTTTTCATATGTATTTTCGTTGGAAGGTTGAAATAGTATATCTAGGTGCACTTGTTGCCTAATTAGAATGCTATTTACAGGTAGAAGTTTTTTCTTTCTATGTTAGTTCTAGTTTCTTCAGTCGAACAATAAATATGCAGTTAGTATCGAATCAGTAAGTGTTTAATGTTTCAGTGACCATGTTGCCACTACACTTGATATGAACTAACAATGAAAGCGTGTAAATTGGGTGGCTTTTCCGTGTAGTCATTTGACGTTTAAAAGAAAAAACAAACTTTGTCGCTGGTTGTGGGCTTCTGAAACATCACGTGTATTAGTATCTTTATGTATTACTTATTGAAGTAAAACCGAGCTTAAAGTTGTGTCACTAGAATTGGTACAATTCAAGACTAAAAATAGTATCGTTATTAAGGTGAATATACTTGGAACTGACATTTACTAAATAACACCTTAGCTGTCAGGAAGTTGTAGTGTATTTTAAAATTCACGGACATTGATTGAAGTAATGTATACTTTACTCACTATAAAAGTAAGATACAATTAGAACAGTAAGATAATATTGCTTTTGTCTATTTGAAATTCCAGGGCAGTTGTTCGATTATTTGTTTTTTCACTGTTGTATTTCTTAGTTACCATGCAAACACTATTTAGTTCTCAGTAACTCATCTTATTCCATTGTGATCAAGACTGTTTAGATTCTTTTCTTTTATATTAGTTTTTATTTTATTCATTGCACAAACATTTATATGGTGACCGCTAAAAATTTCATTATCTATACTGAGCCACCAGCAAACTACTACTAATTTGTTAGCTGATAATATTGTGTTTTCACTGTTATCTTATATTTTAGGGTTGAATGGCGAAGATGGCACTGTAAATCAAACTGTACATGAACTGGATAGTGATGATGATCCAGATTCAGATAATGATTCCTTGAAACCACTTCCCTCTACTCAACCTTCAAGTCACAATGATAAAACTCCTCATTATCTTCGCGAATGCCTCGATGGAATGCTATTAACTAAAGTTGAAGATAACAAGGTAAACGTTGCATGTACTCTATCTGCAGAAAAGCTCATTCGTGATCACCCGGAAGCAGCTCGAGAACTGGCTCTAGAATTCGCTAATACGCTTGTTCATGTTGAACCACCTGTAACTCCCGATCAAAAAGAAGTAGCCCATGCTAGACATAAAGCCTTAATAGCTATTGGAGTGGTTGCCCCCAAAAAATGTGCTCGATACCTGACTTCACAATTTTGTCAGCAAGACAACTCTGTGGGCAAAAAAATGTATATTATATCATGTCTTACTGATATTGCTTGTGAACTCTATGGTGGCAAAGAGGCACTGCTTTCTCAGAAACTTTCTGCAAAGCAGCACGTGATCGAAAATGATACCATTCAAGCCAGTAAAGTTCAGGAAGGGAAGACTCGACGGTTTTTTAAGAAACGTTCACCTCCTTCGACTTTTGTCAACAAGTTTAGCCATGTTGCTGGCGAGTTTTTCTTCCCTTTGTTAAAAAGCATACCGAACTTATCGCTTTCTTCTGTTAAAGGGACCTTCGCTCACCAAGAAGCAGTTCTGTTGGCCAGTTTGCTAGCTTCATTAGGAACTATGTACGCATGCTCCAGATTCTCTCCTGTTCAAAACCGGATGGCTGACGAGCTATTGGATCTAATTCCTCTGTTTTATCGTCATCCTGAACCTGCAGTACGACGTGCTCTACTGATAGCTGTCGGAACAGTTATCACTACAACTCCGTTAGAAATCCTATCATCTAGACCACAGTTGATCTTCAGGGATTCATTATTACCATATGGTAATAATACAAACTCTGAAGACAATACTCTTTCAGGTTGGCTGAAATCTTGTTCAGTGTCCGATACTGACACAGAGTGCCAGCTCTTGGCTAGTAATGGTCTTTCTGCATTATGTGAAAGGTTTTTAGAGTTGAATCGCAACAAGTAACTTTTCAAGTTCTGATTTACTTAAATTTCATCCGTTTGTACATATTGTATAAAGTCTCCTAATCAATACAGTTTTACTACCGAATACATTTTTTTTCTAAATTGCTGTAAGTGCTTGTTTGAAATTCTGTTAGTGTTTGGATTTACTCTCAAATATATGCTCTGGATTTCCAATAAATTCAAAACTCTCCTTATTGGTTTTGAGTGTTACAACTCTCAAAATGCTAGTGCAATTTTTATTTCGATATAACTAGTACTCCTGGTACCTTTGTAGAAGGATGCAGATTAGTTTATAAGTCAGGACTTCTTTGGCTTGTTTTCTATCCAAAATTAGTATTCTGTTTTAAGCGACGCGTTTTATGTGGTAATTGTCTTTCAAGTTTCTACTGTTCATTAGCGATAAAAGACAATCATTATATCAGGTAGGCATTAAAAGGTGTTTTCATATATGTGAATATTAATAAGCCTAATGGTTATCTAGGTATTGTAGTGCGTCTCTGTGCTTAAGGGTGTGCAACTTTGAGTTTTAGTTTCTTACCAGGTATAATTATGTTGGTGGTTCAGCAATAGAATGTTCACCAACCACGGACGTGGTCCGGGTTCGATTCCCAGCCAACGCATTCCTGGTAGTAAATCCGGTTAAAAGAGAAGGCTGGGTGTGAGGCTAGCAACTTCACCGCAATTAAAACTTGAAAGCCCACGGTTGAAACCCTATTTTCCACTTGGAACGCAAAGGAATGAGAGAAGACAAGGTATAATTTGGGTTAGTATATCCATTTCAGATCATCTGGCATACATTGTTTTGTATAAATCATTCATGCAAGATGACAGATAAACTCTAGCGTCTTTCAGTATAATCCCTTGTACATATATATATATATATATATATTCGTAAGTGTATAATAGGAAAGCTTTTGTCTATTTAGCAGTGCCGGATACAAGTCACATTGTTTCTTAAGATACAGAATGTATGAGAAATTGATCTATTATACAGCCACTAACTTACTTTTAAGACTTACAAAATTGTATATTTAATTTTTGGTTGCGTGTATGCATGCAAAAATTGGGTGGTTTAAACTGATTCGGCCCTTTGAGCTGAATCGAACCGGATACACCGTTTGGTGATGTGGGCCTGAAATTAGCGAAACTACCGTCTTGCGTTCAGATCACTTCGATGTGACTAGGAAACACTACTGGTTGATGTGTGCGGTATAAAATTGCTCATCTCAGTCAATCAGTAGCATATGGTTTTTTGTATTTACTCTTGGTTTCTTGATTACCACTGTTGATGGTATCACGCATATTGTCATTTGGATAATTTCAGTTTCCAAAGGAAACTATAATGAAATAATCCCGCCTAAGTTTGCAAATTGTGAACTAATTCACATATTGTGAATTCGATTCAGGTATGCAAGATTCTTTAGCTACCAAAGGTCATTTATGTTTGGCTTCCTTCACTCACTGTTTTCACTAGTATATATATATATGTTCTGGAATGAAAGAATTCAAGTTTTAACCTCCATTCTTACTTGCTAGTGACATACTTGTGGACGCTAGTCTAAAATTGACTAACATTTTGTACGTTTGAGTATAATTTGCTAATCATGTTTATTTTGTAGCGTACACAAGTGGTACGTAGATATTAACTAGTGGCTTGCGAAAGTTTGAAAGTTGACTTCTTACATTATTCAAATTACCATTATGACAGTCTAGTAAAAAAGCTACTCTTAATTGTTGGGCAAAAATATTCACTTGATTAAATAAAGTAAAAATGTACAGTTACATTTTTGACAACTTTCAAATAACAGTTTCATGATAATAGTTACTATCTGATTTTGAAAATTACTTTATCTACACTTCTTTTTCATTTATTGTTATTATTTTGTAGAATTTTCGTTCCCCACAATGGAAATCAATACACCAGTTTGGGAAATACTTAACTCTTGCAATAATTCTGATACACTTGAAATATCTTATAATCAAGAAAATCATTCAGTGAATGATAATCAGGCTGATTGCAATTCTTCACGTCATTCTGATTTAAGTCCATTAAGTCCTACATATCAACATCGAGATTTAACAACACCTGATTCTTCATTACGACCAGTTCATGCTGAAGTTTGTGTATCTCCATATAATTGTGAAGAATTTTCTGTCATTGAGTCCTGTGTTGTTGAATTTTTACGTCATCTTGGTCCACGGCACGTGCCAACTGTTTTGGAAAGTCCTTATAGTGATTTGAATTTAATCTCATTGCATGGGAATATGATGAAAGTTCGGGAAATTCTTACAAACTGTGTGCTTTCCATTAATGTAAGTACAGCTATACAGTGAAGCAAGAGTTTTTCTTTAACTTGTTGTATTGCTTACAAAAGATCTTTGAAATAGATTTAGGTGATGTAGATTACTATTTTAACCACTAAATTTCTTTTAAATTTAAATACCTCTCCATCTACATTGTATCAGAAATATACATACAGTTTTTGGTAGATAAAGCTTATACCAGTCAGCCAAGTCACACCTATCCTTTGAATTGACTTGATTTTGAGCATTTCGTTATTGAAATAGTATTCCAGAAGGACTGATCACTGAACGAAGAGTTTTTTCGATAACTTCTTCATCCGATACCACACTTATATGGTTCTCTAACTGATATCAATCCGTGATCAACTCGTAAAAACATAACTAACCCTTACAAACCAAACTATAGAAAACTTATATATCCATAATAATTAGGGAATTATTAACAACATTGTTATAAATAACGCTGAATCAATAATAACATCAGTAGATTACACTTCAAAAGCATTTATAAGTGATGACATATTCACCAATGTAGCAGTAAAGTGAGTATCAGATAAATTAAGGAAAATAATACAGAATTTATTGATATATAAGCTGCATAGCAGCAATGATGGTTGAATCTGTTTCTTTTGCACGTAAATTTCCGGTTGTTTTTAACCTCATTGCAATGGCTTCTGCAGTTTGCAGTATTTTCATTTTATTTGATGCGTGATAGATGAAACAAACAGATTCTTCAATGGTCTGTTTTTGGACAAGGTGGTCAAATGTTGAACTGTTGATGGTTTTTGCTGTAACTTTATTTGGCCAAAGTAGTAGATGTTCCCAAGTGGGAAAATTAAGTTCCTGGAGCAACGGTCAATATAACTGGCTCCACAAGCTTAGTTAAATTGATAGATACAAGAAGAGAAGACTAGCCTAGATATTTAGTCTTTCACTTTTAGAATCACAACCGGTTCGTATAGCCCTGTTCAAGTTTTTCCTACATTTTTATTCAATCAGATGTGCTTATCTGCATAATGCTTAATGTTCTACAAAGTTTTTACTATCTATCCTTTGATTCTTTTATAAACTAACAACCAACTTGCGCACTACATATGCGCATATGTTGGTAGATTATTCTGCAGAATATTAAGATTCTGACGAATACTCAAGTTTTTAATTTCAGTGTTTTTGAGAAAAAATTGTGTACATCGAAAGCCTTGCAACTTATTTAAGGAAATTATCCTTATTACAGCTGAACACTACCAAGATTTATTTCATAAGTAATCTTATGAGTGAAAATAAGTTTTCATGAGTTTGCATTGACCACGAGTTATTTAGTAGTATTTTTACAAAGGTTTCCGTTGTAATTGGTAACTCAGGTACCGGTATTCACTTACCTCAAAAATATAAGTAAGAGAAATGATTTATAAGTCAGTTAATTGTGTTGCATGCAGTTTAAGAATAGTATAAGGCTGATCGAGACTTGAAGTCTTATGTCTAATATTAAAGTTTTTCAAGTGTGTAGGAATTGTCGAGGTCAGAAAATTCTTTCCACTTACTCTCTATTAATATATGTGTAAAACTTGTACACTGTGGTAGTAAGTAATTTCATATTAGTTTGTTTATTAGATATATCACACAGTGAAACAGTATTATTTACTTAATGACGTTTCGAACAAAATTTATTGCTGTTCATAATCATATCAATTATAATCACACGACTTCGAAACTTGAGTTTTATAGTTTTCTTTGTTCTTTCCTATTGTTGTCGTAGGGGTAGTAGAATTTTCCAAATATCCGTCTGGGACAGGTGTTGATTCACCGCTGTTACACGTGTTTGCAGTTGATTCGATAAACAAAGCTTCTGTTATCAATCTCTCCCTCCACCCTTTTACATTAGATTTTAAAACTGTCATCTTATCCCTCCCGTCCTATTGTATGGCTGTGTGTGATTGCATGTAGTGAGTGGTATAGCTGAGGTATTCTCTAGATTTCTTATCTTATTCGGGTCAACTTATCTAGATTTTGCTGGGTTTTTGCGCTCCGCTTGTTTGACTAACTGACCTTGTTCTACTACTTTGACCTATGTATTTGACCTGACGATCATCGCAGACAGGGTATTAGACAAACTAAATTGTTTTGTTTTAAACGCTCCACAGGATATTCTAACCGGCAAAACTTGTTTCTCAGTGAGTTTGTGGGTTTGAATGCCAGCTACCTTTATTCCTATCTTGTTAAGAATTCTGTGTAAGGTTTCGGAGGTTCCTTCCTTGTATGGAATTACTACTGATGATTTAGGTTCCTTATTGTTGGTGTTGTCACTATCTTGCGCATGTTTGACATGCATGTCGTCATTATTATTATTATAATCACTACTATCACTATTTATTTTATTTTTCATTTTCCTACATACTTTCTGACTAATTTATCAGGGTAATTATTAAGTTTCAAAGTTTCTCTTATATGCTTCACTTCCCGCCTTAAATTTTCTTTGGTACTACTTAGTTTTTGTGCTCTATCATTTAAACATTTCATCAATCCAATTTTCACTGACGTAGGATGAGATGATCGGAAATTCACATATCTGTTTGAATGTGTGTGTTTCCTGCAAACACTAGTGTTTAACTTCCCATCTTCTTTCCTTTTTACGCTACAATCTATCATTGGAAGCTCCCCTTCCTGAATTTCCAATTCATAAGTGAATTGAATTGCCTCCACCTTTGAGTAAGTGTGTTCGAATAAATAAGTTTTGTTCAAAACGTCATCCAGTAAATAATGCTGTTTCATTGTGTGATAGATCTAATAAACAAACTAATATGGAATCACTTATTCTCTAGGTTAAGGTTATCTTATTTCACGTAAAGTTAAGTATCAACATCTTACTTATATACAGAGATTTCTTTCATTCACTGTAGAACTCAATGTTTCTATAAAGAAGTTCTGGGATCTATTCATGACATTTTTTTCTTATCTAGTTAGTACTTGATGAAGCTGATGGACTTCATGAAAATGATGCTGGCCGATCAGTCAATCTTTCTGTTGCTGTAATTTTAATACATGTCTATCAGTTGGTTAGTGGTGAAGAGGCTGTACCAGTCCAAGAAATTATTGAATTCGGTTCAGAGTCTATTAACAGTGGAACTACATGGCTACTTCCTTCATCGGAAATGTGTGGCCTCTGGGAGTCACTTGTTTACGATTCGGATTTAAAACTAAATCTGTTACAATATGCTCAAACTGCTCTGCTGTTCGCCGATCGAGAGGTGAGATCTTTTTACAACTGGATTATATTGTTAGGAATTATCATAAACGTCTTGTGCTAATGGTTCACACAGGAGGTCTAGGTTCGATTCCTGATCGATGTACTCCTAAATCTTATCTATTTTACTAATGGGTAGTAAGTCCAGAGAAGACGAGATACTAAGCTTAAAGTTAGCAACTTTACCCTGTTAAAACAAGACCACTACTGAAACGTGAAAGTTTGAAGCCTTATATTACACTCAAAACACAACACTGACGTCTCGTGTTTCTCCTTTTTGTATCATCCTTATTGAGCAGTTTTATTTCGACCAATCTCTCTAATGTAAATGCCTAGTTGACGCTGAATACTGTAGTTTATTCTTCATCTCACTCCTCTTGCTATTTGTTTTTGACTGTCTAGAAGTCACTCAAATTTGATGTCAGTCAACATAATGATAATGAAAGATTTCAACTAACCAACTTTCGTTATGACTATTTTTGTTTCAGTTTCATTATTATTTATTTTTATTTATTGTTCCCTTGGGTTCCTAGTGGAACATAGGGCTTCAAATACACGTCTCCACTTGTTTCTGTCTTCTGCTGTACTTTTCACCTGCATCCATGTTAGTCCATACTGTTTCAGCTCCTCTTCACACGATCGCCTCCATGTCACCCTTGGACGTCCCACTCTCCGCTTCCATGTCGGGTTCCACTCGAGCACTGGCCTGACGCGCGATGTCACCCAGCGACCTCCTCAGCGAGTGTCCAATCCATCTCCACTTTCTCCTGAATATTTGTTGGGCGATTGGTTCTTGTTTTGTTTGTTCCCATAGTTTCTTGTTGGTGATTCTTTCCGGCCGGCCATCTGATCTTCAGTAGTATAGAGCGAAGACAGTTGTTGATAAAGGTCTGCAACAGGCTGTTGGAAATATTCTTTGTGACCCGCCAAGTTTCTGATCCGTATAGAAGAACTGACTTGACGTTTGTGTTGAAAATCCAAATTTTGTTGTTGATGTTGAGGAATGACGAAGATTTCCAGATTGGTTTCAGGTTGATGAATGTGTTTCTCGCCTTCCCGATTCTCGATTTGACATTCTCGTCCGTTCCTCCTGTAGTTGAGACAATGCTCCCTAGATAAGTGAGTGAATGAAGTAACCTCTTTCAGATCCCTCCCGTTGATGGTGATTGGCGCTGGATGTTGCTGCTGCTGTTGTTGTTGGTTGGTTATTTTCATAACCTCCGTCTTGTCTATGTTCACCTGGAGTCCTGTCTTTGTTGCTTCTTCGACCAGTTCAGTTTCATTAGTTGAATTATACTCAGATATATTTACTAGATGTATATATCTACAAGGGATTACTTTTGTACAAAGCATGACTATTCATTATGTGATATAAAGACTCGAAACAGTTTGCTTCAGAAATCGGTATATTGTTTACTCATCATCAATTCTTTGAGCTATATACCTTTACGTATATAAATTGACTGAAATGTTTTAAGGAGGTAAATACTATTTATTTGTATAAGAATAACCATAAACTTTTGAATTTGGATTGACCATTTAAGTATAATCTTACATTTTTGGTCGAAATATTTAGAAGGTTAAAAAAAGCATTAAATCTCGAAAGATCTCATGTGTTATAGTTAACAATTTATGGAATTGTAGCCTCAATCCTATAACCGTCTATCTTATTTTGAAATATTGGACTATTCAGACTTATTTCATTCCGGGATAGATAGACTTAGTGGTAGCAGTATTAATAACTCAGAGATCAGTCAAGCAAACCTGCACCTCTTTTATTGTTCTGATGTTTTATATTCCCTCATTTATTGTTTATAGGATACTTTATTAATTTGTTCAATCCTACATCCCAGAATTGATCCATTTCATTTTATTTCACTATCCTTCAGGTGTCATCATCTGTGATTTCGTGGAATCGAGTTGTTTTGTTATTTGGTCCTCCAGGAACTGGTAAAACTTCCCTGTGCAGAGCATTAGCTAATAAATTAGCTATACGAATGTCTAATCACTATTCATCAGCACAATTAATTGAAATTAATGCTATGAATTTAATGTCAAAATGGTTTTCAGAAAGTGCACGTCTTGTCACAAAAATGTTTGATTCTATTAGAGAATATCTACAATCACCGAAACATTTAGTAGTTTTAGTAGTAGATGAAGTTGAAAGTTTAACTGCTACAAGAAGTGCTTCATCAGCAGGCTGCGAACCAAGTGATGCTATACGCGTTGTGAATTCTGTTTTAACTCAAATTGACCAGGTGAAGTTTTGATTTACGCGTTTATTTTTGTTGAACTTCTTAATATGATTGTGTTTAATCTATTTTGCAGTCAAACTTTAGCATGCTTTATATATTGAAATGTCAAAAAAGTATCAGAATAACTGATGACTAGGAAGTATTAAGCGAATAAAGAGATGCTTAAATAAAAGGTTCCTCTTTTACTCTTATTTCTGGGGTTTCCATTTCATTTTGTCTATATTAAAGATCGAATGACCAGAGAGAATCAGCAATAGGAAGTTATGAGGATGAAATTAACCAAGAATCTATCATTCAACAAATATGTAGGTGAAAATAGAGATGGATAAAGCACATACTGAGGAGATCGTCGAATGGGGAATAACAGGTTGGGCTTGAGTCCGAGGGATGACATGGAGAAGATCGTGTGGCGAGGAGGAGACGAGAAATTACGGGCAATGGTGGACCCATATGCAGAGAACAGCAAACAACAGAACTTAGTGGAGATGTGTTGTTGAAGTCTTAAATTCCACTCGAAATCTAAGGGAATATTAATAATTTTTAATTTTGGACGGCATTTGCGTTTCTAAAAAACCCAAGCTTCATTTATTTGACTCGTAGTGAAGATGACATCTTTGACTTCGATGTCGAATGAATTACTTATCAGTTTCAGAATGAAGATGTATTCCTTGTTTTAAACTTTCAGCCATCATTTATAAAGCGAACTCAATCTGCTAACATGTAATGACTAATATATTCTCTACCGTGTATGTAGACTAGTACAGCGGTGAGTTCTTATGTTGTCATTTGTTTACCGCAAATTGATAAATACTGATCTGATTCTTTATTTTTTTTTTCAAAAATTTCAGATTAAACGATTCCCTAATGTCTTGATACTGGCCACATCCAATGTAACCAGTGTTATAGATCCAGCATTTTTAGACAGAGCTGATTTACGCATGTTTATTGGTCCACCTTCATCACCAGCTATCTATTCAATTTATCGTTCTTGTTTACTAGAATTAATGAGAGTTGGATTGATCAGTTCAACGGAGGACAGTTGTTTATTAAGTTATCGAACTTTATCATCAGTACAATTTTCAGAAAAGCATGTACGTTGTAGTGTTTTTAATATCAGTTGGGTGTTTTGCTTATTTATTTGAAACGTAATAAAGTAATAATAGTAATAGTAGTAGTAATAAACATGAGTAGGTGAATATAAGAATGTTGTCTTTGAAAAATGCATTAAAAAAAACTATGTAAGAAATGATAATGCTAAAAACCAGACGGACTGAGATATATATATTCAAGCAAGCTTTCTTTCCCTGGAAACGTTTGATTTCTGACTAAATAATCTCTAATTTCTTACATTTTGCCAAGGAAGCTGTTTTATGCTGTTATTTTGTTGAATCTAGTGTACTAATACCGTAACACTAACTTCAATTAGAGCAGTGTTACGCCATTTCATAAATTACCAAGTAAGTGAGCTTCCTCTTGTTGTTTTATCATTAATTCTTGATACACTGTATCATGAATTAAAATCAGTATTCTCGTCTACTTCGCCTACAGCTACACTCAACTTTCCGAATATCCAACACCTCCTTGAATGGGATGTAGATACAGGTCCTCCGTCCTTAACTGAGGTTACTAAGGTTGTCACTAGTCTGAAACGAGGCAAAGCAGCAGGACCTGGTGGAATGACTCCAGAGGTATTGAAGTACGGTGGAGACAGTTTACTGTCTGCGTTAACTGAGCTACTAGACAGCGTCTGGATATCAGAGAAAGTCCCGTCGGGTTGGTGTAAGTGATTGATTATCCCGATATACAAGAAGGGAGACAAGTCTTTCTGTGATAATCACAGGGGGATTATTATTTATTTATTTATTTAAACGCAGAAAAACTTGGTACAATATGGCACCAAGAAAGATGCGCCACACAATAATAATAAAACAACATAGATTAAAAGTAAAAATATAGGCTCAATAATCATGCGTAGACTAAGTGGTGCTCGGGAGGCAGAAAAACGAGAGAACCAGGCAGGCTTTAGACCAGGAAGAGGGTGTATTAATCATACTTTCATCTTTCGATAGATTCTGGAACATAGGCATACGAACCGTTGGCGTACAACAATCGTTATATTTCCTGACCTAAGGGCAGCATTTGATTCTGTCGACCGAGAGGTTCTCTGGCGATGCTTGGCTGTGAAAAGAATATCGAGAAAATACATTGCACTGATCAAGGCACTCTACTTGAACTCATGCAGCCAGGTGAGGGCTTATGGAAAGTTGTCATTTGAAGTGGTGACAACTAGTGGTGTCCGTCAGGGTTGCCCACTACTCCCATTTCTATTTAATTTCATCATAGATGTACTAATAAACTTAACCGTAACTCACTTCAGAGACTCAGGGATTGACTTGCTACCAGGGAATAATCTCGTTGCCTTAGAATATGCAGATGGTATTGTCCTCCCTGCTAGGTAAGGAAGACGCTGACAAAGTTCAGAGTCTTCTGAACACCTTGAGCTGCATTCTGCGAATGTTTTTCACGCGATTCACTCCCGCTAAACGTAAGATGATGCCACAGGATTGAACTACACTGACTCCTAGTTTAGAAATAAGGAGTGAAGTGGTAGAGCACGTTGACCGCTTCACTTATTTGGGAAGTTGCATTAGCCAACGCCAGTGGGTTGATCACTGACAAAATCTCAGCACGGATACAGAGGGGTAGTTTTTCATATGCCAGTTTACGCCGTCTCTGGCGTATGTGTGAAATCCAAATAGCTATCGACCAAAGGGCGAGTGCACTGCTCAACAGTCTGCTCCGTCCTCCTTTATGGCTGTGAGATCTGGTCATTGAGAGCAGAAGACATGAGAAGGCTGGCTGACTAGCTGTCTTTGATCATAGGTGTCTGCGTTTTATCTCCCGTGTGAAGTGGTATAATAGGGTGAGCAATACTGAGGCTAGGCGTCGAGTGCTAGGTAAGGAGGGGAAATCAATAGACGAGGCTGTGAAGTTAAGTCGACTGGGTTGTAAGTTTAGGACATGTGTTACACATGCCTAGCCATCGCTTTCCTCGACTGGCAATGTTACCTGACATAGGGCCAAGCTGGAAAAGAGCTAGCGGCGGTCAAACCAAATCATGGCACCAGTCAATGAAATCCACAACACTTAGTTTAAGCCACGTAGGAAGGTGTAAACTTCTTGGTTGGGGTCCTCGGGACGGTAAAAACTAATGACTGGAGACAATTGGTGATATGGCTCAAAATCGTTCTCAATGGCTCAGATGCATCCACTCCTTGTGACTTATAATTTCCAATGAAACTGTATTGCTCTTCGTTATTGCCATTCCTTTTCTCTCTTATCCCTGTCTACATGAAGGGAGTGTGGCGACTTGAACTTCTGCACATCGGTGTAAAGTTCTATGTCGAAAACAGAGAGAGACTACTTCGTTTTAAACAATTTACGCTTCATGCAATTTACCGGTAATTTCACGTCCCTCGAAATGGGCAGTCTTATGGTCATACTTTTTGCATTTATCAGATAGAATCAGTAATAACTACAAGTGAAAGTGGGTCATAAAGATTAGTTAATAGCTGACTAACTGGAAATGATCTCATGATCCCAGAAGGGAAAAACGCATATTCATTTAGTTGAGTTTACAGACTTTCTACTATAGGTACTGATTCGTTAGAAGTGTACGACGAACAGTTTAATTTTCAACTTCTTTTACGAGTATTTCGATGATACATATCAACATCAATGTTTCTTTTGTCGAATCGGTCTGAACTTCTACAGGAAAATAATCAAATTAAAATACCAAAGGTGTATTTAAAAGGACACATCTTGTCACTAGAATTGTTATCCAGTCATTTCTGAGTTCTTGAAGAAGTTGGGAGCAGTTTGCTGGACGAAACGTTGGAGTTGTTTATTTCTATTTCTCTGAAATTTAAACAAGTATATAGTTTCTACATATGTCTACTTTCCACTCGGCTCCTAGTGTTTCTGAAACTATCTGGTTAAATCTTGATCAGAATTCGCATAGATCAGTTCAGTTATTTTATTTTTTAAACCACCTTAGATATAATAGAGAAGATTTGTAGCTCAGGTGGATGATTTTGGTGTGGTTGTGTTCTCTGAGCTGGATGGTTTGGTTGCGAAGCTTTCATTGCTCTACTGAGCAACATCTTCAGCGCATACTTCCATGTGAAGTGGGCTTTTAGAATTCTCTATGAGTTTATTAGTCATCTCTTCTAGTAACCTTGAACGTGATTGGTTGTTTTCGTGTGACATTTCACCCCCTAGTTTGCTTGTCTCGGTGCTGACTGCTTCTTTGGTCTGAATGTCGTTAGTCATTCCTTCTGCTAACCTTGAACGTGATTGGTTGTTTTTGTGTGACTTCTCACTTTCTAGTTCACTTGTTTTGGTGTTGACTGTTTCCTTGACCTGAAGTTTGACTTTGTTTTTGTGTGTTTTTCTTCGTATGGATTGGTATATTTTGTCAATCTCTATGTGTCTATTGATTGCTGATTCATTTGAATACCAGGCCTCTAGGAATTCTCTGGCATTTTTGCAGTTCCCTTTGTCTAAGATTTGAACATTGTCCCAGTCGAATTGGTGCCCGTGGTTGTCTGCATGTAGTGATATGAGGGAGTGTATGTCGTGTCTTTTGACAGCTAGTTTGTGTTCGTGAATGCGAAGACGAAGAGGGCGTCCACTTTGACCAATGTAATGTTTGTCGCAGTCGTTGCAACTTATCTTGTAGATGACCACCTTATCCATTTCGATGTAGAAGCCTGAGTAGCGTTGTCTTTCATTAAATACTGAATTGTGAAGATCTGGCTTGTTGGCTTATGTAATCGAATTCCAACCAATCCTAGCTATTCCAGCACGGGCAGTGGCTTCTCCAACTCATACTGATTCTTGGTGGAATTTAACTTGATCTTGTGATTGTAAAGATTTTCAAGTAATCTTCAGTTTTATCAAACAACTCCAGAGATGCATAACTAAAGCTGGTGCTTTTATCTTTTGGTATACATTCTTTTATAAGACGTCGTCAATAACACTAACTTGTTTTGTTGTATTGAAGCGCTGATTAGGTGAATCAGGTTCAGAGCTATTGAACATTCTGTTTGGAATAGCTACTGTATCAAAGATAATTCTTTATCCAGTCTCTATTATAATAAAAGGAAAACCGTCTGGCTATTTGACTTGGTGTCCTCAAACTGAATACCTTAGCTCACATAGCAAACAATCAATCTTAGTAGTGTAAATCCATGTCATCCGAACATTTCAACCATTGACTAGCTGTTTACCGTTGGTTTAGATGTCTTTCTGTATTATAAGGAGGTCTGACAACATAAATTAATATACTGTTGGATCATTGGTGATGTAGCATTTATCTCCTTGAAGCAGTTGCTGATTGGTTTGTGCAACTGCTTTCCAACCTATCACCGATCAGATATCTGTAGATACATACACAAGTATTAACTGTGGTTCTCTGTTTCTTGTATTATGACTAAGTATTTCGAATAAATATCAGTATTCAATCTATTTTTATTTTAGGCTAATTCATTAAGTATTTCACTATGGCGTTTATCTGAACGTAGTTCTGGTCTAAATGGTCGTACATTGCGTAAGCTACCTTTATTAGCTTATGCATTCCATCTGAATAAAGTAATCCCTGATATGCGATACAATTCTAGCCTATACAGTCGTCATCAAGTTCACTTACCACAGAATAGTCAACAAGAATCATCTATTTTAAATAATAGTTCATCCTGTTCTAATGTTAGTTCATCAAGTATGATAATGAATAATGGAACAAATAACTCAGCTACACTATCACCGCCTTTATCGTTACCATCACCATCAGTGTCGAATTCTGTTCAATCGAACAGCGTTACACTACAATGTTTTATTCGTGCGTTACAATTAGCTGTAGATGCACAATTCAATGAGTCTAGATCTCTAGATTCAGCATCGTTTGGAAGAGGAGGACGCTTAAATGGATATCAATAAAGCGAAGAGAACAACGGTGAGAAAGTTCACCACTACACATTCCTTTCCTCTCTTCCTATATGCTAAGCATTTCCCTATTGCATTTTGTTTGTTTGTTTTTGAAATATTTTTTTAAATTTTATTCAATTGGCATTTACGGAGGAGAGTAAAATGTACTTGTTGCCTTTATTCTATTTTCATGATGAGTTTTGTTATATTTGTTTGTTTTTTATTATTTATATAAATGAGTTAGACAAAAAATATAGAGTTTTGAAGTTATTTATACATAGTTTTTCCTTTCACAGTTGTCTAATCATGAGACATTTTTGACTGCAAGCCATTTTTCTCTTCTTTTTTGTAAAAGCCTTTCAATAAAACTATTTAAGTTTGATCACAGATTGATATTAGCTGGAGAGCCAATGAAAGTCATGTAGCACTGAACGGCTGTTTCGTCCCAGTTTGGGATTCTTTGCCAGCACGGACCCCATCGTGGACTGAGACTGGTGAAGAGCCTCAAACTAATACTAAACAGCTTTCTGGTACTTCTTGGTCTTTGACGGTTCTCTAATCCATATCAATCCATGATCGAACTTCAAGTTAATAAAATACCTACAAACTAACAATTGAAAATTATTAAACGAAGATTATCCATTTCAGTAAATTCCTATCGTGATACTTACAATAATGGCCAGTTATGCGGCGGATATATTTTTACGTAGAATAACAAATTAGTTATAGGGGGACAAAATCAGTAGCAATCGGGTGACAGACGTACTGGGCTGAATGGAAATACAAAATATTGTGAAATGTGAAACGACGATAATGATTATTTGTCGCAGTAAATTTATACAGTGTAGGAAAGGAAAATTGACCAGTCATTTCAAAGCTGTAAAAAGCGTCAGGTGAGTGTCTAGTACAAAATAGAAGGCATTAAAGAAGAGATGGCAAAACTGCAGTGAATAGTTAATCATGAAATAACCAATATGTGAAATGAAACAGTTGGAGGCATTGTATGAAGAAAAGAGATAATATTACCAATAATAAGTCAGTATAGTATAAATGGGCAATTTGATAGTGCTGACAGAATGCTAGCAAAGCCAAAGAAGAAAAAAAGGATAAGACGCACTCTTGCAAAAGGAGAAGAAATTTTAATCCAAGTTTGGCTACAATAAACTTGAATATGGGTTATACTACTTAGTATCAAAAAGTAGTATATGCGATAACTGTAAAAAAACAAGAAGGGAATATAAAATATAAATTTTGTGACGGGAAAAGTTCACATTCTCGTATTCATTCATGAGTTAAAGATTAACGAGGAGTTGAGTATTACTCTACTTCACTAAAGTGTCATAAACTGGTAACAAAATTTACTCAGCATAAATTTTGTGTTCACTGGTTTGTTGGAACAAAGCGTATGCATCCTTCATGTATTAATTTTGTTGTTATAAACATAGATTAAAAGCTAGTGTTTTGTATTCTTGACTGTGTGCAAAGGAATACAAGTTCCTTCTTATTGACGTATTCTCTTAGTGTATTAAAGATAGTTTTTTTTTAAGTAGGTGATGGTGTTGCACCTATAAAAAACAAAACTGTGATTATCATTGCGAGCAGTTAGTCAAAGAGTTGAAGTCCTCTAATTTGTACATATCGGGTAAACTGAGCAATCCAGTGGATACTACTGACCAATTTGAGTATTTCGAGACAATCTATGTTAACCACTAGCGTTGCCTGCCAGTCAGTTGACAAACTATCTAAAAAGCAGTTAATTCGTTAAGTCATTTGCGGATTATGAAACCATGTGTATCACGGACATACACACCATTGTAATCATCTGGGTAAAATATTCATCTGGTAGTGTTTGACATTTTTTATAACTTGGGGGAAATAATAGATGAATAAGAAAGACTATTGTCAATACTCAGTCAGCTAAATTGGATATAGCTAACCAGAATGCTTCTATGCAGATCAGGTTTCTCAATATTTCCCTTTACCTCATAGTTTGTTGGCAAGTCGTTAGACATTGTGTATTAAGAGTCAATCCGTTCGAATCTCGGAACATATATCATAAGGCCTTTTCAGTAAATCATATGTACTGGATGGTTAACAACTCACTGCATTTCTCCATGATATTATTGCGTAATGGGATAGTGAAGCGTCGAACTTGCTTTCAAGTATCATTCAACACATAATATAATACACATTTTTCTTTCAACTTTCACACTACACATTCCATTCTTAGCCTTTCTCAGGATTGACCAACTTAATACCAACAAATCTCTGTGATTCATGAGCTCAGCATGCTATCAAATGTAGGTCAGAATCTGAAATCAATGGCAAACATGTTGAAAATTCCTCCTTTCTTCTCTTTCTGAAAGCAATACGAAGTAATGAACCCTCTTGTGAATGTGCATGATAAGTTTAAGCAGCAGGTCGGGTGTGAGGACAAAAAATCACCGAAGACATTGGCTAGCGGTCGCACTATGTCGTGAATTGGCAGAAGTTAGAATTCATGGGCCATTGGATCAGGCCCCAGTGGCTTAATGGTCTACGAGCTAGCTCGCCTTGTAACCAGAAGGTTCTGGGTTCGAACCCCGGTGGGTGCGTACTACCGAAGATTCCTAAACTAGGCTGACGAAACAGCTGTCTAGTACTCCCAGTTGGTTTTCCAATGGTTCTCTAACCAATGTAAGCTGATGTTAAAATCCTGTAACTAACCAATCAAATCCCTACAAACCAACACTTGAATAAGTACTTTTACCTGGTCTTCTTATTGTCTTACCTCATGTAAATCATTTCTTTCTCATACTGCTGTTTTTTTAACATTTTTGTCATCCATCTCTTGGTTTCCCTGCAATACCAAGTTTGTTTTAAATGAAAATCTAATAGATTGTGGCATTCTCTGAGGTAGTCGTAGGTTGACAAACTATTATTAGTGTAACGGATGGTTATTATGTGGAAGAAAGGAAAATCTGGGTCGAGACAGAATTCAAACAAGTGGTCTGGGAAATACTGTGATTAGAACTGTGACAGGTGATGACCTAGGTGGGTAGCTAGCATGATGCTGAATGCGCAGTGATGTATTATTCATTCACATATCACCTAGACATTATGCAGTGAAACCATGATCTAGTTATCATATTGCTCTGACAGTTGAGCAGGACCAATAGTTTGGAGGCGAATACTTTAAATAATGGTTTTCCTTTCCTCTTTAATCACCAACCATTTCGAAAAGTAAATAGTAATTCACTCCTGTAACTGAGAATAATATTGACTTACTGACAAGAAATTCGAATTATTATACTTACAATCATCATTAATCTAAATTCGGTGCTGCATTGAACATAAGAAACACGATTCGAATTTTTAATACTCATGTCAAGTCACTTCTATATAGTTCCGCGGTTCGGAATGCCACGTAAAGCATTTTCAACATGCTTCAGAAACCAACGGCTGGCTTCTGCACCTTGATATTGAATATCAGATGGCTGACCAAAAGGGATTACCGACGAGGAACTCTGTCAATGAACGAACCAAGAACCTATCACTCAATAAATATGCTTAAGTAAATGGATAGGGACTGGACATATTCTGAGGCGACCATTGAGTGACATCACGCACCAGGCAAATCCCCGAGTAGGACCCGAATGGGAAATGACAAATTAGGCGTGGCTCCGAGGGTGACATGAATGAGATGGTGTGAGGAGGAGATGACAGCTTATGGGCAACAGTGGTGCCAGTTTTAAAATGAATTTAGAGAATAGAGTGAAATAAAGACGTGCTGCTTAGGCCCTATGCTCCATTAGGAACCCAAAGGAACAGTAGTAATTATAACACAACCAAGATGAAATGTTCAATTATCACCAATTCGCTAACGCAACAATACAATGGGTTAGTGAATACCGATAATTAGGATCGTAAATTAAACTTGTGAATTGTCAACAAATATTGAAAAAGAAAAGTAATACACAAGTCTACAGATTACTGGAATACGTTTTAAAACACATCTTATCTGAATGACAATCAGAATTCAGGGTCATATAATACATAAGGTTTAATAGTCTGAACATAAAATATTTTCTTTTCTTTAGAAAGACGGGAGACATTATCAGCGCTTTATATATGAGCGCTGTTAACCAGATATTCAGCTTCTGGCCAAATCAAATGTGTTATAAGCGAATTTCTATTGGTACTTTTCTAACCAGTCAAAATACAGTTATAAGAAATAAAATTTGTAATTTATTGGTCCTGTAAAATAACCAATAGAATCACATTCTCCGTTAGTGATTTGCAAAGTCCAAGATGAAAATTCACCAGGTTTCCTTTTTAAAATTAAAAGTATTTAGATCACAATATATGATCTATCTTAAACCATAAATGGCAATCAAGAAAACAAGTATAATCGCATCATGGTATATACTACTAATTCATTTGAGTAGTTGGTAGAGTCAACGAGTAGTACTTACTAGTCGGATCGGAGTAATACAAACACCAAGCGACCGTTTCACTCACTAAGGGCAGAATTGACCAGCGACTTACTCAAAAAAACGTAGTACAGTTGAGTTTTGTGACTGTTAAATTAGACAACCTTGATACATCTTTGTCTAGCAGAGAAGCCTAGGGTGTTGAAGTTGAGAATAGTGATCAGAATAAGGAACCTTTCTGATTGTTGTTGTTGTTGTTGTAATCAACCTAGAATAAATATCATTTCCAAAACTTAAAAGATTGCTAAAATGAAGACACTTCTGCATTCAAACTACCAGGTTTTTCGTCTTACTAAAATCGTAAGTTATTTCATGATTTCCTACTGTACATTGCATAAATGAGTCATCAGGCATATCAGCAGTTGACTGTACACCTTGAACTGCATACAGCTGAATATAATTTAAATAGATGGCAGTTCTGTTGAAAAGTTAAAATGTGTGAAGTATACGCACATTCGATCGGGGAACAATTATTCTTTTTATTATTGGAAACTGAGAAGTCCGACTGAAGTTCCCGACGTTTATACACTTCATTATCAA